CAGAGGCCAAAACGTCCAATCACCACTTTCACCCGGTCAGAGGCCAAAACGTCCAATCACCACTTTCACCCGGATGTATACATTTACGAGGGCCAATCTTCTTTGTTTGTGCCAGATATGTTCCAATCGTGTCTGAGAGCCAATATATATATATATATATTCATTCAAACATACCAGAGGCAACCAGTAATCCGCAGTTGTGTCAGAGTCACGTGATGAGACTTTTGTCTCTATCAGTTGACATGTCTCGTGGGTGTACAGCTTCGTGGATTCTGAGCATACTATATTGTGAAAGCGGGGAACCCAATACATGAAATTAGAAGGGAAAAAAGACACGTCGACGAAATCTGCTTTTCGCTGCTTTTCGCAGGGAAGCGAAAAGCATGTCCGATCACCCCTCGACCGCTCTGCTTGAACCGGCTTCTACGCTGCACTATCACAAACGCCATGGAAGGCCAAGAGCTCTGCACGAGTGCGGCCAATGGAGATCACCACGGTGTTGATCTCAGCGCTGCGGTGACTCACGGTGGGTAAAGGAAGAAAGACACATCTTATTTATTGCCTGTGGCCTGCCCCCTACTACTTAATTAAGATAAGTTTGTTTCTAGCTACTTAAGCTACTACCTAGGACGCAGGATAGCTCACGCTTCTTCATGAAAGCTCCCCGCCTGAGGGTGGGGGAGCTTCCTTCAAGAAGTGCTCGCACTTATGATTGGTTCCTAGATTTTAGGGAAACTTAACGAAGTGTTGATTCACTTTCTCAAAAGGAGCACTTGTGCTGACCCAATCAACGGGGGATGTGCAGGTGATCTGTGTGTGTGTGATTTGGTCTTCTTTGAGAATGGTCGGGGGTGGCACAATGCAGTGGCTCAATCGACAAGACACGCCCATCGGTGCAGTGCTGTGTCCATCAACACGGGGGCCACAGTTCTACCAAGAAACCAAGGGGTGGTAGCTGGCTCCTCGTGCACAAGGTTCAATTGAGCTATGATCCTGACATTGGTGGCTCTTAAGGCACTTCACATTTACGTCTTGAGCCCACGTCCGCCCACTTCAGCATGGAAGCATTTTGAGCAAGGTTGGGTGGTATTTGGAAGCCACTCGGTAAATGACCAAATGATTCCCTTCTTGTATTCCCAAGATGGGACAAAAATACTTCCGACACCCACACCTGCGCTCTCTCTCTCTCTCTCTATCTCTATCTCTTTCCAGATACAACACTTGCACCTGAAGAGAAAACAACTCAAAGGAACCCAGTCCAACCCAGTCTACTTCAAACCTGGACCAAGTCACTGCCACGAAGACCGATGAGAGCAAGATCACCGTCCCAATGGAGAGCACGATCGGGCTTTGACGGTTCTGCTTGTGGACCCACCTCGGTCCGATTCATCGGTCGGAGATCCGAACTGAAGCGGGTGGAGCCAATCAGGAACAAGACAGCCAAGGCAACCTGCTGTTTGATTGGCCCCATATAGATCATATGGATTCATATATGGATTGTTAAGGAACGAGATCGCTTCTTGAGAAGCCGTCCGATTCATCGCCAGTGTCGGTGTCCGCTTCGACCCAGGTGTCGAGCCAAGGATCTGCCCCACGACGTATTGGCCCAAGGCTGTGCAGATCAGGCCAAGGAAGAAGAAGAGGGCACCATAAAGCGGGTGCAGCAAGCCGAAGACCAGAAACCTCACAAGCTTTTATTGGTTGCATTCCAAGAAGAAGCTCTGGATGTGGATGTTGCGAAGCTTTTCTCGAAGAAAAACGTAACAAACTGGAGCCTAAGAAGGTGGTCACGACCGGCTTTTGAACAGCTTTTTTGTCAAAGGCGTTTCACTCGTGCTCACTGGATGATGAGGTGGCGAGGTGGCGGCTCTCCATCATCAAACGCTTCACCCGGCGCCACATGTGAAGTCTATGACAAGCATAACATGCCTGATGAGGGTGTGGAGCGCAGGTTGGGTTCGCTCCTTTGAGTTGCTTGGTGCCCAAGAAGCCAAGCGAAGAAGACAAAGAAGACGAAAGAATTTCAGGAAATGCAGAGGACGTTGATGAAGAAGAGTGGATCAAGTGGAAAAGAGATCTGCGATGATCCTTTCCAAACCGCCCCGCCCTGCACCAAAACCAAAAGTGCCACTGAGAGATACCAGAGCAATTACATCACAATGCCCAGTGACGGTGTGCCGTCCCAGTCTTATGTTGGCAAGAAACTTGAGGAATGGCAGCCTGACCTACAAGGTCTGTATCTGACCTACAAGTGTGCAGCCAAACACTTAGAACATTCCGTCAAACCATATGCCAACGGAGATCTCTTTTGCATTGAAGTCAACCAGATGTTGATCTTCTTAGTCGTTCAACAAATCTTCCCATGGCAACACACAAAAACCTGCATCTTCCAAGCACCACCCCATCTTTCATTCAGCACCACCTCGTCACTCCGTCTTCCGTCGTCGTCCTTCGCCGTTCCGACGCGCCCGAGACGGGCGGCGACGCGCTCGCCGCCGCCGAGGTGTACAGGATCATGGCCGCCGCCGAGGCCGAGGCCACCGACCTCGGTCGGAGCGGCGCGCCCGTCCCCGTGCGCCAGCGGGTTTGGTGGGTCGGGTGACGCGGAAAGGGTAGAGTCTGTGTGTCCGTTGGAAAACGATCTGGATGTTCAGGTGCTGGTGTTTCTGCGTGTGGAGATTGCGGAGACTGAGAAAGACGAACAGTCTTTGAATTTGCGGAATCGATCTCCGGCGCCTTGAGTTTAGATGGGCAAGTGGTCAATGGGTTTGTTGGTCAGTATGTATTCCGCAGGTGGCATGATGGTATGCTATGATATATTGCAGAATCGTCGTGCAAGGTCAGTTGGTATCAACTTGTTACAGCCTTGCGTACCCAAACCACCAATTGGCCCAGGAGGATAGGATTACACGTTGTTGGATGCTGCGCATTGCCCCATCACATGTCTTTGGATGGCTACTCCAGACTCAATTGAGTCTATATCGTTGGTTCCCAACGTGGAGGTGAAGGGAGGCCTCGATGCCCTGCACTCGAGCACCCAAAAACAGACACGATGAGCAGAGCTGATAAAACAACATTAACTGAGATCGAACAATGAAATGATGATAAACGATGTATACAGTATAAGTTTAAAAAAAAAAAAAGTAGCACTCTTAATGTCCAAGACCAAGAGAATCACTGGCCACTTAAAACCATCTGTTGTTCTTAAATCCAAAATCACAAACCAACGGAACCTATTCGTTCGAGTCCACACCCTGAGGTCTGGGACGGCATGATGCCCATCTCCAGCATCAGAGGGCCCTTCCTTGGATTTGCTCAACTCGGAATCCGGGAAAAAAGAAGATCCATCAATACATACAAGGACGCTACTAGGGGCTCCTGGCCTTACTACTACGAGCAAGAAGCTACTAGGAACAAAGGGCATCGCTACTAGGAGCAAGGACGCTGCTAGGGGCTCCTTACACCCTTCCCCAAGGTTCGGGGAATTCCCTCATGAGGGAATGAATATATATATATATATATACCTAGAACCTGATTGACCCCTGTTTTGAAGCCAAAACATTGTATTTTTCTATCAAAACAAAGGTATATATATATATATGGTTCTAGGTATATATGATATATATATATATACATATGGTATTTTTGTTTATTTATTAACAAAAAAACTAAATCTAAAAATAAAAAACTCCAAACCAAAACCAGGCTTCACGATGCCACCACCCACTCCAAAGAGCCCTGCCAACCTGCGCGGCTGGACCGCTCGGACCAGCGGAAAGATGGGGAGTCGAACGGAACCCCGGGCGTTTGGTGCTTTTTGGAGGACTAAGGAGACAATACGGCATCAATGTCTTCGATTTGGTCTGAATTGTAATTCTTGTTTCTAATGGCTTCTTGTTCCCAGTAGCGATGCCAGGAGCCCCTAGTAGCGTCCCTTTGCTACTAGCGATGCCCTTTGATAATTTGGAGTAAAGTTGAGTTCATTCCCAACTGTGAGGGGTGTAGTGCAAAAGTCCAGACATGCTCCGAATAGGCTGCAACTCTAATGATGTAAACATGTGTAAACAGGTTGGTGTGACTCTGTATGTTTGGTTTGCTTTCAAAGGCCTCAGTCATTTCCGTCGAGCCACAGACCAGCGATCGCGCAAAGTAGGGGATAGAGCAGCGTGTTGCGGGAGTCCCAACGGACCTGGCGGAGTGGAGGTCAAAGGAATTGCCCAGCAAAGAAACTGAAAAACCAAACCTATGAAGGGATCGAATCCGAATAACTACTCTGGAGGGGGTTGGGGTCAAACATGGTCAAACCAATCCCTAGGTTTGAAGGGTTCTTTCGAGCGTCTGGGTGCTAACTTTATTTCACGTGCGTGTCCTCGTGCCGCTTCTGTTTGCTGCTTGTTTCGTTGTGTCTTGCAAATGAAAGATGCCCTTCGCGATCGGAGCTGGATGCCTTTTGCCGGCATGCCAGCCGTCTACTGCCAAGTCTCTTTATGTTCGCAGGCTATCTTTGGTGCCATCAGGCCCCTCAACAACTTCGATTCCGGCCTTCCACATCAATTTGTGTTCTTGTGTGTGATGTGAATCAGACGTCCGTTTCATTCACTCGCGCCAAAAACAAAGAATGAACTCCAAGACCCTGAGACCTACCCCCGCTCTCGCGCCTACCATGCCGCGTGAAAACTCGTCTAACCCGACTCTCGGCCTCACCGGGCTGGAAGGTATAGCCTTGTTGCAGCTTCTGATGAAACTCAGAGACCAACATCTGCCTGGCGAGCGGATGTAAACCATCCGCCCCGCTCTTCTCGGTCGGTCTGACATGGAGGTGTCAACCTCAGACCGAAAGGGATGAACATAGTCCTCCATCTATCAGGGATGTCTATCCTCGGATGTTTAGGTGACCGACCCACGGCCGTACCAATCAGTAAAAGGCCGTCTATGGATGTCATGCATTGCTTTGTCTCTAAAGACTAGTAACCAGAAGCTACTAGCAAAGGGCATCGCTACTACAAAGGGCATTACTACTAGGAGCATTCTTGCTACTATAGGTCCTATTAAGTGACGAGTCCGGAACAACGGGCATTCGTGGGCTCGCGAGTCAGCGATCTGTCAGGGCCAATCCTTCGGCCTTCTGGACCCGCCTGAAGCCCAGCGCGAAGGCTAAGACCCAGGGCACGGCGCCAAAGTAGAGCAGCCAAAAGCCGATGGAGCCACACTCCACCCCTCGGGTACGCAGACCAGGTGCTTTCCGCGCGAAGAGTTCCGTGAGAAGGCGATTTTTCCAAGTGAAGACCAGTAGCTTCTTGTTCCTAGTAGTAAGGCCAGGAGCCCCTAGTAGAGTCCTTGCTCCTAGTAGCTTCATGAGATGTGTCTAGGCGATGAGATGAGCAGGGTGAGCTACTGCACCTTCACAGCACCTAGCACGGTCTGTGGGCGAGGTGACTCGGCTGAAAAGGAGATCACACTCGTCACAGGTCTTCGTTAGTCTTCATTGCTTTTGGGGAAAGAAGGCTCCTTTTGCAGACTTTCGTCAAGTTCCCCACTGCTCTCAGGCATCCAGCACCCCCCACCAGGCGTTCCGCTTGGGGCGACTTGACTCCCAGGTGCCGAGTGGAGATGCCATCCGACCGCCGCCCTTCAGCAAAGTCAAGGCCTCATGCCAGGCATCGCTACTAGGGTGGAGGCCATCGCTATACTATGGTGGAGGCCATTGCGATTAGGTTGGCATGCCATCAGTCCAGAGGGGACGCGCTTTTGGCGTCAAGGCTGGTTTGGTGGGTTTTTCACCGTCCATCGCAGATGCCAAAACCCTCGGTGTGTTTCTTTTTGTGGACATGGTGGGCAGTGTTGGCCCCAAGTTTGGATAAGGGTACTGCCACAATACCAAACCTCTGTAAGTTACAAGCGCATCCAGGATAACTGAAGTCTGCTTCTAACGACTTGCGTACATCTCTGTGATATACTTGGGACGTCAGCCTCTTCATGCCATCACCTTCCAAGAAAAGCTGTGGATGTTTTTATGCGTTGCATCTCTGCATTGGTTTCTCCAATGAGATGACGAAGAGTCCCTGCCAGGCGGCGCAGGTGCCAGCGAAGCAGAGTGTCAGGGCGGCGATCTTGCATCGCAGCCTGGGTGCATTGGAGTCGACCCCACCAGGTGCAGTCCTTGCTGTCCGTTGGACGTCCTATTGCAATGGAGTCTACAGGTGCCAGTGCTAGGACATCTCAGATAATATTAAATGGATGGACTGACTCCGTGCATAGTTTGTCAGAACTAAACAGTAGACCGTTCATGCATCTGAGACCATTCCAAACTGTACCACAAACTCCTGGAACCACTTTGGAGGCCATTGCTATTAGGTTGGAGGCCATTGCCAGTAGGTTGGAGGCCATCGCTCTTAGGTTGGAGGCCATTGCTATTAGCCTCAAACTCCAACTTCCATCTCTCATTTCGCCGCTGAGCGAGCTTGCCTTGAGCCACGTGCACCATGAGCTAGCTCGCTGTCGGACTGGAACTCGATGTAGTCTTGCACATCCTCAGAAGCTCGGCTCTGTTGGTACCAAAAGCATACTTGGATTGCACGGGGAAGACACAGGGGCAAAATAGGTTGACATGAACAAGTATTCATGCTGGAGCACAAACAAAACAAAGGTCGTTTAAGAAATCGATGCTTGCAAGCAGTTTTCCCACAATGGTCGTCAGCATCGATAGTACCCGGCATCCTTCCAACATCTTCCACTCTCCTGTGACATTGCAGATTGATATGAGGAGCCTCACAGTACTCAGTAGGGGACAGATATATATATATATACCCACCAGAGAAGATTTCAGTACTCATGACTCATATATCTCTGCCCACCAGAGTCACCAGAGCAGATCCCTTCCACATCGGTCTGCCCACACGTGGCTCCCATCTAGAATCTAGAGCTCCCATGCCAGGTGGCAGAGGCCTGTGCTAGAGCTACGCCTTGGGTCTTCGTCTTCGCGCGAGCAGCAGCGCGGACTTGTTTGGAGCGTGGACCAAACTGGTCAAATCTGAATCTGATGATGTGTTTAGAGATCTAGTAACAAGTGCCTTACTAGTAGTAACACGAAGCTATTAGTAACA